CTGATTCTGATCCTGATTCTGATTCTGATCCTGATTCTGATAGAAATGTAATAGTTCACCTCATGAGAAGAGCTCATTATGACCCACTGTCCATGGTGAAAGGGCAGTCATTGCTTGGCCTGAGTCTTTGTATGTATGTTCATTTGTCTGTGTTAGCAAAATATCTCATGAACCACTGGATAGATAATGACAAATCTTTCAGAGCGTAATCACTGAACATGTATTTACAATTTAACCAAATTAGTTAACCAATTCAAGATGGTTGCCAGTAACTGAGAATAATTCATCCACTTTCACTGAGATTTAGCTGAAGTTTTGTGCTGTAGTAGCCGAGAGTCATTCACAACACACACTATGAAGGCTAAATGATTGCACAATATATTTGGCCTTTGTTTGTTAGAAAAATTTCTTATGAATCACAAAACAGATTTTATTAAGCCCCTTTTAAAAAAAAGCTTGTTAATAAATAGAGGCAACCAAATTGTAAATGTCTAACCCAAAAATGACTATAGTTCATGCCGTTTTACAAACACTGAGCTAAAACTGGTGTGGTAGTAGCTGAGAGTCATTCACAACTAATAATTTGAGGGCTCACAGTATTACACGATATCAATAACATCATTTAGGAAGTTTGATCACAACAGCTACAACTCTGTTGTTCCTCCACATAACATGATTTAAGTTAAGTTCTTTTCATCATAATTTAAAATTAATTTAGATCACCATGTTTCTTGCTGTGGGGAACTGACGGTGTCATAATAAGAATCAACTAATATCCGTGGAAATAATCAAACACATCTGTATTACTGTTCCTCAGGGCTGTTCAGTGCTTTCACAGGAAACGAGACGTGTTCGGAGCAGATTCACTTTTAATTTCATATTTCTGCTGTTGAGACGTGAACAAACACGGACTTCCTCTCAGGGATGACTGAAGGTAACGGTAAACATTAAATGTGTCCACAAAACCACCAGGGCCTGAAGTTCAGGTAAAAACTTTAAGCAGGGCTGTTGGGCAACAAATTATTAACAGCGTCGCTCCAACGCCCACGTCTCTGAGGGTGCACACAATGAACGTTTGGACATGAGGGAAATGAACAGAATGTAAGAAAACCTTAATGTTTATGTTGCAAGACATTCAAGTGTATCAAAACAGAAGTCGTTGTTAATTTATTTTATTGTTTTATTTTATTTTATTTTTTCGAGGCTGTGCAGAGTGACGGATCCTGGTGAGTTAAGGGAACAATTAAAAAAATAAAATAAATTCAAGCAATATAAAAACTAGAAATCATAGTTTTCTCTAATGTAAGGGTTCATACATAT